CGAGTGCTCCCACCCTCTGCCCACCTGTCCCCACTCTCCATCCTCCCCAATCTGTCCCCGAGTGCTCCCGCCCTCTGCCCATCTGTCCCCACTCTGCGTCCTCCCCAATCTGTCCCCGAGTGCTCCCCCCTCTGCCCATCTGTCCCCACTCCTCGTCCTCCCCAATCCGTCCTGGTGTCCTCCTGCCCTCTGCCCACCTGGTCCCCACTCTGCGTCCTCCCCAATCTGTCCCCGAGTGCTCCTGCCCTCTGCCCATCTGTCCCCACTCCTCGTCCTCCCCAATCTGTCCTGGTGTCCTCCCGCCCTCTGCCCGCCTGGTCCCCACTCCCCGTCCTCCCCACTCCGTCCCCGAGTGCTCCCCCCTCTGCCCACCTGGTCCCCAACCCCGGTCCTCCCCAATCTGTCCCTGAGTGCTCCCACCCTCTTCCTGGTCCCCACTCTCTGTCCTGCCCAATCCGTCCCCGAGTGCTCCCGCCCTCTGCCCATCTGTCCCCACTCCCCATCCTCCTCAATCTGTCCCCTAGTGCTCCCGCCCTCCGCCCATCTGTCCCCACTCGCCGACCTCTCTGATCTGTCCCTGAGTGCTCCCGCCCTCCGCCCGCCTGTCCCCTCTTCCCATCCTCCCCAATCTGTCCTGGTGTCCTCCTGCCCTCTGCCCGCCTGGTCCCCATTCCTCATCCTCCCCAATGTGTCCCCGAGTGCTCCCGCCCTCTGCCCACCTGGTCCTCACTCCTCGTCCTCCCCAATCTGTCCCCGAGTGCTCCCACCCTCTGCCCACCTGTCCCCACTCCCCGTCCTCCCTGCTCTATCCCCAAGTGCTCCAGCCCTCGGCCCCCCTGGTCCCCACGCTCAGTCCTCCCAGCTGTCCCTGTGTGCTCCCGCCCTCCGCCCGCCTGGTCCCCATTCCCCATCCTCCCCAATGTGTCCCCGAGTTCTCCCCCCTCTGCCCACTTGTCCCCACTCCCCATCCTCCCCGCTCTGTCCCCAAGTGCTCCTGCCCTCCGCCCCCCTGGTCCCCACTCTCCGTCCTCCCCAATCTGTCCCCAAGTGCTCCTGCCCTCCGCCCACCTGGTCCCCACTCCCCGTCCTCCCCGCTCTGTCCCCGAGTGCTCCCGCCCTCCGCCCCCCTGGTCCCCACTCCCCGTCCTCCCCAATCCATCCCCGAGTGAGTGCTCCCCCTCTGCCCGCCCGTCCCCAAGCCCCGGGGCTCCTGTCCTCCCCCCACTCCCCGCAGGCCCCAGGCTTCCGGGCCGGGGCAGCCCGCGTGTGGCCCGCAGGGACGGTGTGGACGGCGGGGACGGTGAGGACGGTGTGGACGGTGTGGACGGTGTGTGGACGGTGTGGACGGTGTGGACGGCGGGGACGGTGTGAGGACGGTGTGGACGGTGTGAGGACGGTGTGAGGACGGTGTGAGGACGGTGTGTGGACGGTGTGGACGGTGTGTGGACGGTGTGGACGGTGTGGACGGTGTGGACAGTGTGGACGGGGTGAGGACGGTGTGGACGGTGTGTGGACGGTGTGGACGGTGTGGACGGTGTGGACGGTGTGTGGATGGTGTGGACGGTGTGGACGGTGTGTGGACGGTGTGAGGACGGTGTGGACGGTGTGAGGACGGTGTGGACGGTGTGGGGACGGTGTGGACGGTGTGGACGGTGTGTGGACGGTGTGGACGGTGTGAGGACGGTGTGGACGGGGTGAGGACGGTGTGAGGACGGTGAGGACGGTGTGGACGGTGTGGGGACGGTGTGGACGGTGTGGACGACGTGGGGACCCGGCGCCACCCGGCCCAGCCCAGCGCGGCGGCTCCGGCGGCTGCAGGCGGCGCGGGCGGACACAGCGCCCTTCTGGCGGCGGGCCGCGCCCCCGCCCAGCCCTACGCCGCCGCCTGACCATGCTCCCTGACTCACGCCCCTAACCCCGCCCCCGGGTCCGGGTCCGTCGCCATGCGCGATGCGGGCTGCGAGCGGCCGCAGCGGCCCCATTCATGCGGCGGCTACGAGCGCCAAGCCGGGCGCGGCGGGGCGCCTGGGCGGCCCGGGTCTGGCTGGGGGGCGGCGCTTTGATGGCGGGCGCGGGGCGCTGCCCGGGGCGGCCGGGTGAGTGGGGGCGCGGCGTCCCGGGGTCGGGGGCGCGGGGGGTCCGGTGGTGGGGCGGCGGGGGGGGGGCGGTCACCGGGATTCCGCGCGTCTGCGCATCCCGGTGCGCGGACCGCGGGGAGAACCGGCCGGCGGTTCGTCGCATGCGGGTGCCGCTGGCGGCGCTGCCGCCGCGCACACAAACTCGGCTGACGGGGCGGGGGCGCGGAGGGACGCCGCCTGGAGGCCGCCCCGCTCAGCCGGGACACGCGGCGCCCCGCCGCGCCGCCGCCCCCCATCAGGCCAGGCCTGCCGCCTCTACCTACCGCCCCCGGCCTCCCCCCCGGGCCTCCCCGCGGCGGACGACGGACGAGCCGGGGCACCGCGCAGAGGGATCACCACCATCCACCACCCACACCACCAGCGGCCGAGCCGGAACCGCAGCAGGGACGGGCGCCTCTCCCCCGGGGCGCGGGGACTCGGGGGGCCGTGGGTTGGGCGACACGGGGCTCCCCCCTCCCGTCTCTCTGTCCTCGCGTGCGCAGCGCGGGGGGGTCCCCTGGAGCGGGGGCGCAGTGGGCGGGGGCCACAGCCCCTTGGAAAAGAAGGGGTGTAGCGCGGCGGGCGGGGGTGCGCAGGGCATCGCGGCCCTGCCTCGTATTTCCCCGCCGGTCCGTCCCGCCCTCCCGCCGGCCCGGTCCTGTCGCCTCGTTGTCGCCGTCGCTGCGCGGCCGGGTGCCCGGGCGCCCCGCCAGCCCCCCGGGGGCCGGCGACGGGGGTGACCCGGCCTCCGCGAGGCCCGGGAAGGGCAACTCGGGCAGAGGAGGCCGCAAGGGCGGAGGCCCGCGCGGCGCGGGACAGGCCCGGCGGCGACACGGCGACACACGGCGGCGACACACGGCGCGGGGTCCCGGGTCCCCGCGAACAAAGCGGCCCCGCGTCGTTGACTGCGGGGATCCCGCGGCCCAACCCCCTCCCCCCCTGCCGGGCAGGTCCCCGGGGGGCCGGCGGGGACAAGGGGACACCAGGGGGGAGGGGCAGGGCTGCCGGGGTCCCCACCTGCCCCTCCCCCTCCCCGCCCAGGACTGGGGGGGGACACTGGGGTGACCGGGCAGCTCCCTCTGTGTCCCCCTTTAGCTAACCGGGACCCCCCGGGCAGGGTGGCGACGTCTTTCTTTCGTCCCTGTCCCCACCCCCCACTGCGCGACACTCCAACCCCAGCCTGAGCTCCCCAAAAATGGCCGGAGAGCTTGGGGACGTCTGGGACCTCGGGGTGGCGCGGGCCCCGAGAACCCCTGTGCATTGGGGTGCGGGAAGGACGCGGGGTGCCCCCCAGGGCCACCAGGGGCAAGGGGACCACGCTGTCCCTGTCGCCTGGCCTCGGTCCCGGTGCCTGCCTGCAGCCCGTCCTCCCGCACGTCGGGGCTCGCCGGCGGGTGCTGTTCTCGGTGGCCCCAAAACGCACCGGCCAAGCTGGGGTCACCCCCTCCCCCTCCTTTTCAATGTCCCCAAACCCCGCCCCCCCCTCCCCCTCCTTTTCAATGTCCCCAAACCCCGCCCCCCCCTGCGACTCCTGCCTGGCCAGGGCCACCTCGGTTCTGCGCGCGGGCCTCGAACCCCGAGTTCTGTAAGGCCGGGACGGGGAGGCGACCTTTTTAGTGGCCTTAAGTGGCCTGGGTTGGGTGGTCTTGCTGGGACGTCCCCTGTCTCCTGTCCCCCACGTCCTGTCCCCTACAACCCCCAGGGACCGGAGTGGTGGCCCCCCCCTCCCAGCGCCAGGCCCCAGTTTGCATGGCATGTGGCACCCCAGGTGTGTCCCCCCCTGGTGAATGCAAAAAGAGAGACCTGTCATTGCATTAGGGACACCTGTAATTATCCCTGGGGAGGGGGGAGGGGACACCCGAGGGGACCTCGGTTAATTGCAGGTCTGATAAACGGTGAGTGACTCATGTTTTCCTTGGAGTTCCCGCCACCGGCCTCCACCTCCGGCCTCCACCGCCAGCCTCCACCGCCATGCCTCCCCCAGAGGGTGGCGGGTGGGCGTGAGTCTCCCCTCCCCTGGTGTCCCCCACCCCCATCGTCCCCAGCCCCCTAGTTCTTGGGGGAGTCGGGGGGCTGTTCCGCAGCCTTTCTTGGAGGCCACAGGCCTCTGCTCTGGGCCTCCAGGCAAAGAGCCTCTGTCTTCCGAGAGCCTCAGTTTCTTGTCGTCGGCCGGGCCTCGTGAGTCAGGCCGAGGGTGGGTCGGGGGTGATCGGGGTGACGGGGACAAAATTGGGGGGACGACCAAGGGCTGCTCGGGTGACGCGTGTGCGAGTTCGTTCCTTCATTCATTCATTCATTCATGCATTCACGGGTTGTAGCAGAAAGTCACATGGAGCCAGGCCCCGCCCCCTTCTGCAGGAGTGGGCGGGGCAGAGGGGACAGGGTCTTGGGGACAGTTTGTAACAGATCCATCGGTGTCGGCTGCCACCCGAGCAAGCTGGGGACCGGCGACAGTGGGGAGAGCGTCTTAGAGAGAGAGATGACAGTTGTGCAAAGGCCCTGGGGTCGGACCCCGGCAGAAAAGCTCTTGTTAGTTTCCCTGGTGCAGATGGGGAAACTGAGGGCAGCAAAGGCTAGGGTGCGTTTAACCCGGTTCCCGCCTGGCTGGTGGGACTAGAGAGGAAGTTTCTGGAAGCAGTGGGGGGAGGGGAGTCGAGCACCCTGGTGGCTCCAAACGAGGGGACAGTGAGTGTGGTGGGTGTTTGGAGACAGAGCCCACGGGCGACATGGGAGCTTGGCGTGAGTGTCGCAGGCAATGCCCGGGGCCTCGGGCCGGGAGCACAGAGCGAAGTCGCATGAGCCCTGGAATTGGGGACAGGAGCTGGGATCGGCCCCCACGAGCCCTTTTCCCCCTTGGAGGAATTTCTCCGGCCTTGTCGCAAACGCGGGGACAACACTAGGGACAGGCCGGAGAGCCTGGCGGGACAACACTGGGGACAGGCCGCAGGCTGGCTGGGGATGGGGGGGGGACCTGGGCGGGACATAGACACACAGAGTGACTTCGCGACCCGCAGGTCTCTAGGTGGCAGGGGAGGGCGGTCGGGGCTGGCCCCAGGGCCGGGATCCCATAGGGAAAGACCCAGACGGGCTGAGTGGCTCTGAGTCGGGTGACACTCTCCAGATCGGGGCGTCCGCTGGGGACCTGGTCCGTCCCGCATCTCCTCCTCCGTGTTCCCAGGCCGCGACGGTGCGGCGCTCAGGGGCTTTGCTTGGTCCCCGGTGACACCCACCCAGCTCGCCACCTGCAGCCGGCCCCAGGCTGCGCTTGCTACTTGTGGGTGGATCGGGCCCGTCCAGGGCCACCAAAATCCGGGCGCTCGCGGCACCGCGCCTGTGCGTGCGCGTGCCCGAGCGTGGGGACCGCGCCCTCACTCCTCCCCGCACCCCCGCCCTCCCCTCCCCAGGGCTGAGCTTCGCGGTGGCATCGTGATGTTCGCGTCGCCTGCACGATTCGAGTGTCTCGACGGCGACAGCGCGGGGCCGCGGCGGCGCGCCATGCCGCTGCCGCTCCTCCTCTTGCTGCTCTTGTCGCCGCCGCCGCTGCTGCTGCTGCTGCTGCTGCCGCCGTCGGGGGTCACGCAGGCGGCGACAGCGTCGTCGCCGCCGCCGGACTCGCCGGGACCCTTCCGCACCTTCGCGGCCACCGACTGGGGGCTCACGCATCTGGTGGTGCACGCGCAGACGGGCGACGTGTACGTGGGCGCGGTGAACCGCATCTACAAGCTGTCGGGCAACCTGACGCTGCTGCGCACGCACGTCACGGGCCCCGTGGAGGACAATGAGAAGTGCTACCCGCCCCCGAGCGTGCAGTCGTGTCCCCACGGGCTGGGCAGCACGGACAACGTGAACAAGCTGCTCCTGCTGGATTACGCGGCCAACCGGCTGCTGGCGTGCGGCAGCGCGTCGCAGGGCATCTGCCAGTTCTTGCGACTCGACGACCTGTTCAAGCTCGGGGAGCCTCACCACCGCAAGGAGCACTACCTGTCGAGCGTCCGCGAGGCCGGCAGCATGGCCGGGGTGCTGATCGCGGGGCCGCCGGGCCAGGGCCAGGCCAAGCTCTTCGTGGGGACTCCCATCGACGGCAAGTCCGAGTATTTCCCGACGCTGTCCAGCCGGCGGCTCACGGCCAGCGAGGAGGACGCCGAGATGTTCGGCTTCGTGTACCAGGACGAGTTCGTGTCGTCGCAGCTCAAGATCCCGTCGGACACGCTGTCCAAGTTCCCGGCCTTCGACATCTACTACGTGTACAGCTTCCGCAGCGAGCAGTTCGTGTACTACCTGACCCTGCAGCTGGACACGCAGCTGACGTCGCCCGACGCCGCCGGGGAGCACTTCTTCACGTCCAAGATCGTGCGGCTGTGCGTGGACGACCCCAAGTTCTACTCGTACGTCGAGTTCCCCGTGGGCTGCCAGCAGGGCGGCGTGGAGTACCGCCTGGTGCAGGACGCCTACCTGAGCCGGCCGGGCCGCGAGCTAGCAAGCCAGCTCGGCCTGGCCGCAGGCGAGGACGTGCTCTTCGCGGTGTTCGCGCAGGGCCAGAAGAACCGCGTGAAGCCGCCCAAGGAGACGGCGCTGTGTCTCTTCACCCTGCGGGCCATCAAGGAGAAGATCAAGGAGCGCATCCAGTCGTGCTACCGCGGGGAGGGCAAGCTGTCGCTGCCCTGGCTGCTCAACAAGGAGCTGGGATGCATCAACTCGGTGAGTGCGCAACCTGGGCAACTGTCCCCGGCCACCACCGCGGCCACCGCCACCACGCTGGCCTCTTTGACCTCCCGGGCTGTGCTGGATGCTTGGTTCCGCGGCCTCCGGGCACCTGTCTCATCTCTAGACCAGCCCACTGGTGTGCCCGGAGAGTTTTCTTTTCTTTTCTTTTCTTTTTTTTTTTTTTTGAGACAGTTCCCTGTCTGTCGCACCTAATCGTAATCTCATATATATATATTTTTTTATTATTTATTTGTTTATTTTTGAGACAGAGTCTCACTCTGTCACCCGGACTAGGGTGCCACAGCGTCAGCCTCTGGCTCACGACAGCCTCCAAGTCCTGGCCTCACACAATCCTCCCGCCTGGGCCTCCCTCCCAGGTAACTGGGACGACAGGCACGCGCCACCACGCCCGGCTCATTTTTTTTTTTCTTACATATTTTTAGTTGTCCAATTAATTTCTTTCTATTTTTTAAATAGAGACGGGGGTCTCACTGTTGCTCAGGCTGGCCTCCAACTCCTGACCTGGAGCGATCCTCCTACCTCAGCCTCCCTCCCGAGTAGCTGGGACTACAGGCATGCGCCTCCACCCCCGGCTCATTTTTTTTTTTGCTCTCTATATTTTTTGCTTGTCCAGCTCATTTCTTTCTATTTTTTTATTTATTTTTTAAAATTTTATTTATTTATTTTTTTGAGACAGAGTCTTGCTCTGTTGCCGAGGCCAGACTGCTGTGGCGTCAGCCTCGCTCACAGCAGCCTCCAAGTCCTGGGCTCAAGCGAGCCTCCTGCCTCAGCCTCCTCCCGAGTAGCTGGGACCACAGGCACGCACCACCACGCCCGGCTCACTTTTTTTACATATTTTTAGCTGTCCAATTAATTTCTTTCTATTCTTTTAGGAGAGACGGGGTCTCGCTCTTGCTCAGGCTGGCCTCCAACTCCTGACCTTGAGCGATCCTCCCGCCTCAGTCTCCTCCCGAGTAGCTGGGACTCCAGGCACGTGCCACTGTGCTCGGCTAATTTTTTCTATATATTTTTAGCTGTCCAATTAATTTCTTTCTATGTTTTTTAGTAGAGACGGGGTCTCGCTCTTGCTCAGGCTGGCCTCCAACTCCTGACCCCGAGCACGATCCTCCCGCCTCAGCCTCCCAGAGTGCTGGGACGACAGGCGCTAGCCACCGCGCCAGACCAGGCGGGGAGAATCTTGTCCCTGCTCCCGGCTGGCGGGGACTAGCGTGTGACCAAGGGACACCCCTTGCTCAGGGTCCCCAGAGGAAGGGCCGGGGACTCTGCCCCGATGGATCTAGAACTTCCAAGACCGGGTTGTCTCTGGCTGCGATCGTCCCGTCCCTAAACTGGGAATGTGACACGCGCTAGTTTTGGGGACAGGGTGGGACAGTGACTCCTGTCCCCCAGCCCCGGGAGGGAACATTTCGTCCTGTTATCATCGGCTACTGGCAGGCTGGGGACTAAGGGCGCTTGTCACATGCAATTGTCCCTCTTTTCCCGGTTTTCCAAGGATGACTTTTTTTTTCTACCCATTATCCAGAGGGGTAAACTGAGGCTCGGAGGGGACAGAGCCTCACCCTGGCCCCTGGCTGTCCCCTTTCTGGGCCCAGCATTTCTCTCTTTTTCCCCTGGAGGCCGGAGGACAGGGGTGGCGGGAGGGATGGGCAGGCCCCGGCTGTTCTCTCTTGGGTCCGGGGCAGCCTCTCCGACCCAGCCTCAGTTTCTCTTGTCACGCGGACCCTGGCCGGGCGCGGCCTGCTGCTGCAGTGGCTCCGTCCCTTCCCGTCGCCTCCCACGAGTGGAGGCCCGGCAGGGAGGCCCGGCAGCGAGCTGGGCCTCAACCCCGCCCGCTTCTCGACAGCCTCTGCAGATCGACGACGATTTCTGCGGGCAGGACTTCAACCAGCCGCTGGGGGGCACGGTGACCATCGAGGGAACCCCGCTGTTCGTGGACAAGGACGACGGCCTCACCGCGGTGGCCGCCTACGACTATCGAGGCCGGACCGTGGTGTTCGCGGGCACGCGCAGCGGCCGGATCCGCAAGGTGAGGCCCGGACGGGTGGAGGCTGGGGGTGGAGGCTGGAGGTGACCGGGGGCGAGGCTGGGTCTGGGGGACGGAGGCCAGTCGGGTCGCCAAAGACGGACGCCAGGTGACCTAGGGGGGGGAGAGGGACATTGTCGCGCGCGGAGGAGGGGGGTTGGGGGCGGGGCGGCCCCTCCCCCTCCGGGTCGCTGTCGCCGGGCCTGGGGGCAGATCCGGTGTCGCTGAGCCAGCGCTCTGCCCGGGGACGCGGTCGCGCGTTGCTGGGGACAAGGACAGGCCAAGGGGGGGGCCCCGGGCCTGAGTCCTGGCAGGGGTGGGGCGGGCTCGGGCTGCGTCCTGGGGGTGTCGCGGGACGGTGGGGGCGGGGACAGGGCTGGCCTGCTGCTCTGGGGTCGCCTGTCCTGCTTGGGGACAGCAGGCATCCACAGGAGGGCTTCCCGGAGGCGGAGGCGGAGTGACTGACAGCGTCCTGGGGTCCCCGGCCTCGAATCCTGAGTGGGGGTGGGAGGAGGCTGGATGTCGGGGTTGGTGGCCAGGGGTGTCGCGTCTTCTGTCACTCTGGGGTGGTGACGTTGGGGACGGGGTCCTGCGACTTGGGGGCGCTGGGGGCTCAGGGAAGCGGCCACCGACTGTCGGCAAACACTGAGCCTCAACTTCCCCGGCTGGGAAACGGGGGGAGGGGCGGGGCTCCGGGCTGCTCGGCAGGGAGGGGGGACCGGGCCAGGGCGCCGGGGGTGGGACGGGGGTGGTGGGGGGTGGCAGGTGACCCATCTACTACCCTCGGCGTCAGGGTCGCCTGAGGGGACCATATGGGACTGCTGCCCGGAGGCTCTGGTGACAGGTTCTTTAAGATTCCCCGGTGTGCGCCCCAACCTGACTGTAACCCCTAACCTCTAACCTTTAACCCTAAACCTAAGGCTTCCTGACCGTAACCCCTAATTTCTAACCTTTAACCCTAACCCTAAGGCTTCTGGACCCTAATCCCTAACCTCTAACCTTTAACCCTAAGCCTTCCTGACCTTAACGTCTAATTTCGAACCTTTAACCCTAAACCTAAGCCACCCTGACTGTAACCTCTAACCTCTAAACTTTAACCTTAACCCTTCCTGACCGTAACCCCTAACCTCTAACCTTTAACCCTAACCTTAAGCCTTCCTGACCATAAACCCTAATTTCTAACCTTTAACCCTAAGCCTTCCTGACCGTAAACCCTAACCTCTAACCTTTAATCCTGACCCTAACACTTCCTGACTGTAACCCCTAACCTCTAACCCTAACCCTAAACCTTCCTGACCCTAACCCCTGACCCTACCCTCCCTGACCATAACCGCAAACCTCTAACCATTAACCCTAACACTTCCTGACTGTGGGCCCTAACCCCTAACATTCAACCATAAACCTACGCCTTCCTGACCCTAACTACCCCTAACCCGAAACGGTAATGCCACGCTACCCGAGTGGAAACCGCTAACCCTACCATAACCTGACCTCCCAGCCCAAACTAAACCCTCAGCTTGTAACCCCAACCCCCAGCACTAATCTTCTTAAGACTAGCCCTAACCCTAACGTGATTTCTAACCCTAATCTCTAAACCTGACCCCTAACTCTAACCTCTAACCCTAATTTCCAACCATAACCCTAACCTCGTACACTAACCTCTAACCCTAACCCTAACCCTAACTCCTGACTGTAACCTCTAACCCTAACTTCCAGCCTTAACCCTAACCCTAATGTCTAACCCTAAACTGTCCAACCCTAAACCCTAACCCTAACCCTAAATTCTAACCTTAAGCTCTAACCTTAAGCCCTAACCCTAACCCTAACCCTAACCATAACTCAAACCCTAACCCAAACTCTAGCTCTAACCTGTAACCCTACACCTAACCCCAACCTAACTCTAACCCTTAACCCCTAACGCTAACCTTTAACCCCTAACGCTTAGCCCTAACCAATAACCCTAACTGTAACCCTGAACCCCTAACTGTAACCTCAACCCTAACTCTAACACTTAACCCCTAACCTAACCCCTAACCCTTAAACCCTAACCCTAACTCTAACCGTTAACCCCTAACTTTTAGCCCTAGCCCATAACCCTAACTCTAACCTTGAAGCCCGAACTGTAACCCCTAACCCGAACTAAGGCCCAAGACAAATACGAACCCTAACCCTTAACCCTACCCCGGACCCTGACTCTTGAACCCAACCCTAACTCTACCCCTAATCCTAACCCTTAACCCCTAACCCTAACCCTTAACCCCTAACCCTGACTCTAACCCTTAACCACTAACCCTACCTCTAATCCTTAACCCCTAGCCTGACCCTGTAACTCCTAACCCTAAGGCCTAGTCCTAACCACTAACCCTAACCCTAACCCTGACTCCCTAACGGTAACCCCTAACCCTAACGCTAGCCCCGCCACTAACCCGAACTCTGACTCTTAGCCCTTAACCCTGACTCTAACCCTTAACCCCAAACCCTAACTCTAACACTTAACCCCTAACCCTAACTTTAACCCTTAACCCCTAACTGTAACCCCTAACCCTGGCTCTAACCCATAGCCCGTAAGCCTAACTCTAACCTTTAACCCCTAACCCCTAGCCCTAACCCCTAACCCTAACTCTAACCCTTAACCCCTAACCCTAATCCTATTCCTAACCCTAACCTGTGACCCTAACTGTCACCTCTAACCCCAACCCCAGCCCTGTAGAGTCCCCTGGGAGTGGCGCGTGTTGGGGGCCGCCCTGGGGCGGGATCCAGGGTCCCTTCCGCTTGAGGACACCCCATCCCGCGCCCGTCCCCTGCGGATCCCGTGGCCGTGGCCCACCAGGAGAACCGGCTCCTCACCCGCCCCGCCCACACCCGGAGCATGCGCGGTGGCCGCTTTCGCCCGGAGTGGGAAACTGACTAGGCCCAGAGCGTGGAGCCGTGTTGAAGATGGCGCTCGGTAGAGGGTGGAGCCCATGAATGAGAGGAGGCCGTGCGGGGGCGGGGACAGCTGCAAATGGGGCGCCCCTGCCCCTCCTCTTCCTCCTCCTCCTCCTCCTCCCAGTTCAAGGCAGTCCCCAGCTGGGGAAACTGATCTGCGATGCGGTCCCCGAGAGCCAGACGCTGTGTGGTCCCGCCCAGAGTCCCTTGGCTCGGAGACAAGTGTCCCCGGCCCCTCCCCCCCCACAGTGTCCCCCGCCCTCCCACCACGTGTCCCCCGCCCTCCCCACATTGCCCGCCCTCCACCCCTAATCTCCCATCCCTCCCTTCCCCATTCCCGATTCCCACCCTCCCACCCCACAGTGCCCTGTCCTCCCCACCAGGTGTCCCGCACTCCCACCATCAGTGTCCCTCCGACCCTCCCCACACTCCAGTGATCGCCTGCCCCTCCCCAACCCCATAGTGTTCCCACCGCCCCTACCTCGGCCCACCCCACGTGTCCCGCCTCTCCCACCCACAGTGTTCCTTGCCCTCCCCCACCACAGTATCCCTCTGCCCTCCCACCCACAGTTCCCCGCCCTCCCTCACCCATGTCCCCTGCCCTCCCCCATCCACAGTGCCCGCCCTCGCCTCCACCACATTGTGTCCCTGCCTCCCCCCCCAGTTCCCAGCCTCTACCACCCACCAGTGTCTGCCCCTCCCCATCACACAGTGTCCTGCCCCTCCCCACCAGTGTCCCCACAGCCCTCGCCCTCCACCCACATGTCCACGCCCCTCCCCACCCAGTGTCCCCGCCCCTCCCCACCCACCCCCTGAGTGCCCGCCCCTCTGCCACCCCGTGTCCCCAGCATTGGAACTGGCTCTCTCTGTCCCCACGTGTCCCCACCAGGCGCCGTGTGCAGCGGGATGCGGGTACTCGGGGCGTCTCGGGGTGTCCCACCCCTGCCCCAGACAGAGGCAGCGCGCCCGCCACCCCGTCCCCTCCCCGCCACCGCCTGTCCCAGCCCTGGCCCCGGAGTCCCCGCCTCGCTTCCTCCCCGGCCCGGGCCAAGGCACAATCCGTGTCCAACGCCAGAGCCGGACAGGAGGTTGCAGGAGTGGAGGGACCGGTTCCACCCGTGAGAGCCGTGGTCCCTACGCGCTGGTCTCCCTTGGACTCCTCCTCCTCCTCCCCCAGAGCATGCCGGGAACTCTGTGTCCTCAACCCCTCGCCACACGCTGGAGCTCACAGCAGCCTCCACCTCCTGGCCTCGGCGAGCCTCCTGCCTCGGCCTCCCTGAGGTAGCAGGGACTCCAGGGCATGCGCATCCACGCCCCATTAATCATTTTTTCTATTATTTGTTCTTGCAATTAATTCTTCTATTTCTTTAGTAGAGACGGGTCTCGACTCTTGCTCGGCTGGCCTCCAACTCCGACCTCGAGCGCGGAGCCTCCTGCCTCGCCTTCCAGAGTGCTGGGATGACAGGCGTGCAGCCTCCGCGCCCCCAATTTTTTTCTATATATTTTAGTTGTTTTGGGTAATTTTTTCTACTTTTTTAGTAGAGACGGGATCGCTCTGTCAGGCTGGGCCTCCAACTCCTGACCCTCTCTCTAGCCTCCCGCCTCGGCCTCCCAGAGTGCTGGGATGACAGGCGTGAGCCTTGCCTGATTATATTAATATATATATATATATGTAATATATTTTCTTTCTATTTTTTTAGTAGAGACAGGGTCTGGCTCTTGCTCAGGCTGGCCTCCAACTCCTGACCTCTAGCGAGCCTCCCTCCTCGGCCTCCCAGAATGCCGAGATGACAGGCTCGAGCCGGGCCCCTGCCCTGGCTTTGACAAAGCATCCGGGGACCTCCGGGGACTTTGCAGGCGGCGCCCCAGGTCCCCGGGCAAGCGTGTTGTTGTGTCAAATCGCAGGCGACTAATTTAAGCCCCGCCGAGTTCAGCTGGTCGAGGCTAGCTCAGGGAGGCCGCCTGCCTCCACTGTCCCTAGAGCACTTCTGCTGCCACCTGCCTCCTCCCCGGGGACCCCGGGCTCCACGCATGGCTCCCCTGTGGCCTCTATGACACCCCCGGGGCTTTGCCGT